AATTAATGTTTAAGCTTACCTTTTAAAAGTTCAACGATAATTCTTCTGCTGACACTTAATTTAAAGACGATTTAATGTACAGAGATCCTTATTTTCCGTACAAACAATTATTTTTATTTAATGGGTGACAGAACAGGGGACAATTTATAAGATAAAATTACTATAGTGTAAGATCGGAAAACTAAAATTGAAATTAGTTATACATTCAACATTTGATAAGTTAGAGAAACATAATAGCTAATTAAGTAAAACCTGTATTATGGAATCTATATGAATAAATGCGAAATTGGAGCGCAATTCTGCCACGAATTCTGAGATTAAAAAAGCCACAGCTTTACTTTATAGTAATTTATACGCGGTATTTACTCTGTCCTACCACTGAGATGATATGTGACACAAGGTGTGCGACCCGAGAGCGAACACTCGGGTAAGGAACAAAAATTGCCCACAGCCCACGGAACCGACGGTTACGCTGGCCTCAGTGCGAGCACCGATCCCTCTCTCTGGTGCCATGAGAGGACGCGGCCTCGGGTAACAGTTCCCCAGGGCTGGGTATCTCTCGGTATAATTTTCTTCAGTTGCAACTCTGTCCTTTGACAGTGTAGGCCCCTGAGCGCCCTCTTCCCAAAGACAGAGACACAACTGAGAGATGCTAAATAGATGTGTTAGAAACCCCACGAGGGAGGAGGGGCTGACACACGGTATTTACTCGTTACCCCCACTAGGACGTGATGTGACACGAGGCCTTCAACAAGTTGGCATCTATTTGTAAAACTTTCCTCAAGCCAATTTATGAATGAAATGTATTTGCTGTTTATTTATTATTAAATATGTTTTGTTGAATGTGACAGACAAGGAAAAGTTTTTATGAAGTTTTTCTAATGTTCTTACAGTTTCTCTTTCGTAAAGGCTAAGGGTGTGATGAAACTGTCCGTAATGATTATAGTCCCAAGCTATTTCGACCAATTTATTAGCCATTTATAAGGGCTCCGTTAATGTTTGTCAACGTTCGACCATTTAGCTACGGAAAGCACGACACCCTGACAGTGGTTTAAAAGACTCTCTAACGGCAGACGTAAATTAACACCTTAAAAAAAAACAGTAGTACCTTCTCAAACCCGTGTATCCACGAAATATAACTTTCAAAGCAACAAGAACTAATGTCGGATTGTAAATAAACTTCATTAATCTCTTAAATTGATTTGATTTTTACGGTTTATCAACCCATTGTGGGTTATTTAAATAATCTTATTTTTGTGAGTGATTATTACATTAACATTTTAATTTTTAGAATAACTATGATTTTTTATATATACATATTCTACTAATTAATCTATAGGGAGGGGAATGAATTCATACCTTTTTTTCAAGGGTATTTGCGCATAAGTGACAGTAACGAAACCGACCGGAATTCGAACTCGGCTCTCCGATTTCTTATTCCAAGCCGCTATCTATTACACCATCCGCACATCTTTAATAACTATTATGGGAATGGGACTAGGAACGTGCCCGCATGTCTACATTATATAGAGCTTAAATTGATATAACTGTCATTATAACCATAAAACAGAATCTTCATTTAACTTTGTCATTAGTTAAACATGCATTAAAAACAATAAAAAAAAAGAATATACAGAAATGCTAAACGGGAGATTTGTCCTTTCAGGTCTTACACATCAAAAATACCTCGGTGTCTGGATCAGTTATAACAAATTTAGTATAGGAGATAAGGAAATTGAACATAGAATAGGTTGTGCTAGGGATAGTTTCACCCAATACCTCAAGCTGCTGCAAAACCAAAACATTAACTTAAAAATGAGTCATGTTCTTAAATAGCCTCGTCAGATCGAGACATTCAAGTTAGATGCCAAGACTGTCGCTAAACTAGCTCACAGATATTGAAACTGTCGGTTACATAGAACTGCTTTCGCAGATCACTGGTCAAAAATGACTTCGCGCGCGAGAAGCGTGTATGCCTCAGCGAAGACGCCATATCTATAGAATCACCAAGAACTGTACCAGATAAGAAAAATCACTTGAGAACTTTCGACAAGTAAAATGGGTGGCACATTAACTCGAACAGGGATAATGACATGATCATGATGTTGACGTTCCACACAACCTCAAGCAAAAAGCAAGGAAGGAAACCACCACCAATACTTGAAAGATCGTTAACAATGACTGAACTTGTGAAACCTATTTCCCTGAAAGTTGTTTGAGAAAGATTTTATAAATTTCAAACGAGAGCAAGTCTAAATTCTCGGTCAATGAATGCCGAATGTTTCCTCATAAGGAAAGGGCTAATATTAACATTACTATTACTATATATGTAGATCCCAAAACATCTTTTTTTTTGCTGCTTTTGACTTTTGACTACCTAAGATAAAATTGTGCTATGTTTTCCTCTCTTCTCTATAAAACGGAAATGGTATGGAAGATTTTTGGCGCTTAATGATTCTAAGTAATTCTTGCAGAAATCATTTTAATTTTAATGAATAAAATGTAAAATTAATTTTAGCCAAGATGTCTTCATTTACATTTTAATTAATATTTTCATATTTGCTAATATCATCACAACGTTTCGGTCATTTTGGACTCCTTCCTTCTTCAGGTGTCTGTCTATACGGGTAACCTTCATGGAATTTCAAACTAAACACTTTATTTAATTTACAGTGGTTTCGATCCGTTATCCATGTCTTGGGATATCTCATTCTCGTATTTAGTCCCGCTCGATTATTGCTCGCTCCGTTTCCATTGCATCTGAGTCTCTATAACCCAGCCCGGGGATTGAACTCATAACTGTCCCATGTAGATAACGTAAATAAAAGAAAATTATCTCATAAATTTTATCTTTTCAATTTAAAGACCTTGAACATGATTTTTATATCGATATGTGTTACCCAGGGACAAGCTTCAAGTATGGCAGTACGTAAATTGCATAGCACCAATTTTCTAATAAGGGAGTGTTTGACTTCTTTGAATTACGAAAACTACCGGCGATAACAAATGCCCAACATTTATTTTCAAAGGTGCTTTTTCCTGCTTTTCAAGACTTTTTGCATTTCCTCTCAGTCTATGTCTTTGTTTCTCTGTCTCTATCTATCTATCTATCTATCTATCTATCTATATATATATATATATATATATATATATATATATATATATATATATATTACATAGAATAAATATCCAAAGTTACTTCATTGGAACAGGTATTTTAGAGTTGACAAAAGCCTACGAGTAAGTCTGGTGGAATATCTATTCCAGTAAGGTAACTTTGGATTTTATTTTCTATGTAACTTATATACTCTGTTATAATAAATACATTGAACTCTTTTGTGGATCAGTTTTAATATTTTATATTATTAGGATTCACTTGAATTATTTACAAAACGGATCATTACCTATATATATATATATATATATATATATATATATATATATATATATATAATTTTATTTGTTTAAACGTTATTTTAATGGATACTCATATTTGAGTAGATACTGTTTAATAAGTAAATAAAAAAACATAATAAACACCAAGTTAAAGAGAGGTGTTTTCGAATAACCAAGATGTTAATAGGCTTTAAAGACTTTGAAATGTAAATGTTACAGAAAATTAATTTAGAACACGAAATACAATCTTTTTGTAAGTATACAAACGACATCCGATTACTAATAGAAAATTACTGGAACAATAATAATTTGGAACTTTTTAAAAATAAATGAATTTTGACACTAAAGGAATCGAAGTTAAAATTAAGGATGTTTTGATCTAGAATTTATTTTTAAAACAAAAATCTCTGTAAGATCGGCAGAATAATTAATAGCGAGGTGATAAACAATAGCGTCTTGTTGTGAACCTTGGAAATCAATCGATGAAAAAGTTTATTCTCGGAGGAGTAAAGTTGCACTTTTGTAGTATGTCAGCACGTTCGCTCTAGAAAAACAGATACGTCACCAGTCTGGAACACGTGAATAAGTTCTCTTAATAAAGAGGGGAGACATCCGGGGAAGAGAGATTTGGGTTCGTCTGTCTTCGAATGCAGTCGAACTAAGTGAAGAGGTTGAAAAGGAAGTGTGTTTTGCTGAAGATGAGGGCGAAGAAGCGAAATACCACCGCTAACATCTAAGCACCGCTACTCCTGCTATTACTACTACTCAGATCGGGAACATCGAAGGTTGTAGTAGTTGCACTAAGAACAAACCAAAAAGAGTTAAAACGCAGGCCACATCTCTCCTTTATTGAAATTATTCGAAGTATTTGTGTTTGTTTGGTTATTGTTCCCATACAAGAAGCATTCAACCTTATGCAACAAGAATTTTTTTGTGTGTGTTTGCTTTTATATAAAAAAATAACTTTTGTCCTTTCAAATCGAATCGACTTGGTTATATTTATTTTTCTGTTAACCCGATTCTCACCCGACGAACTCGCAGGTGGACCAACGGAGAGCTTCCGGATTTCTACGATCTGATGACCGCTCCCCAGGATCAAAACAATTACAACGTGGCTGGAGGGTGGCTTTGAATTGACAGTGTTACATACCTATATATATCATATGATAAGTCCTGATCTGGCATCTCGCCTACAGTCACTCTCTCACAGAGGTACCGTGGCTTCCCTTTTTCTTTTCCACAAGTATTTTCATGGCAACTGCTCTGACGAGGTACTTTCACTGGTCCCCTAACTGCATGAATTTAAGCTACTAGGTTGGCATCTCTGTCTCACCCTTTCACTGACGAAACGGTTAAATGTAGCCGTCTCTTCTACTTCAATAGCTTCTTATCTGGCACTTCCCGACAGTGAAACTCCCTTCCTCTTACTTGCCTATAATCTTCAAATATTCAAATGTAATATCAATCGACATCTTCTGATACCTTGTTCCTGATCTTCGTCCTTCTGTTTATTTTCCTCAAACACCCCTCTTTAATCTTACTCTCACTCTCTGTAACCTCTTGCGTGCTAGTGGCACTCCCGTGATTTTCATATATATATATATATGTCTTCTGTCTTTTCGACATCTATTATCCAACTTATCCCTTTACTTTTTTCTCTTTCTCACTTTTCTTTTCCTTGTCTTCCATTTCTTGATCTTTGTTTTATTGCGTGTTATAAAATTTCTCTATCTATCTATCTCTTTCTTTCTCTCTTTCTTTCTTTCACTCTTTCTTTCTCTCTCTCTTTCTCTCTCTTTCTTTCTTTCTCTCTTTCTTTCTCTCTCTCTCTCTTTCTTTCTTCCACCAAAATACTATGTCTCTTTTTTTCTCTATATTTCCATTCCCTTTTCTCATCTACTTCTCCTTCTGTATTGTTTTGTTCCCCTTTTTACGCGTCCGATTTTAAATAGTCCTTTCAAATATTCCCCTTTTCAAATCCTTCTCCCTCCTACGTAACAATTCTTTCTTCTCTCTCTCTCTCTCTCTCTCTCTCTCTATCTATCTATCTATCTATCTATCTATCTCTTTCCGCTTCTCTTTCTTCTTCACTTCTCGTTTTACTCATTTCATGATCCCTCCTTCATATCATCCTCTCTTTTTTCATTTATCTTTGAACTCTCTCTTTCTTTTCTCTCTATTAATTAAACTTCTTTCTCTCTCTATTTCTTCCGTTTCCTTCTCTCACAATCTATCCTCACTTACTGTGTGCCTGTAGTTTTCTTCCTCTTAACCAATTTATCCGAAGACTCCTCCATCAAGACGTTTCTCAACGTCGACGATTTCCAGAATCTATAGGATTATTGCCAGACTCCGTCCAGCAATCTGTCAATTAAATTAAACACTAGTTTCTTCAACTGCCTACAGCCTCAGTCACCCTCCAAATGCCAAGGTCTTTCAACCCTTCCCTTCTGAGCTACACAAACATTCTTCAAACTTCTGACTGCTTGATACTCTTGTAACTTTAATCAATCGTGTGTCCGCAATTGACTTAGCTTTGGTTTTCATTTTGTGGTAAAGACGTCATGAAAGAGGTGGCCACGTTAACAAAGGCGAAATTTCGTGACCAATAGCCGATCCTTATCGTGAAACTTTCACGCCTGTTTCCGACCAATTAAAATGTAACTTGACCAAACTGTCATTGATGCGCGAGTGTTTAATTTGTTCCTCGAACGATTCATTTAACCAAATAGTGAAATAAGTGAATCATTATTTTCAAATAAACTTTTAAAATATTCTTCCTGAAACTTTTTATCAGATCAAACATTAAACATTTATTCTTATTTTATGTTATCCTGTCTTGATCTGTCTTCGTGGCACAGAGGATATTAATTTTGGAAATTTTTGAAAATCACTAGTACATGGGTTCTTTAAGCACTAACACGATCTATGATTATATATATATATATATATATATATATATATATATATATATATATATACATACATACCCTGAAGATCCGTTTAGGTGAAACCTCGGTTGGTTGTTCCTGGCTCTTTAGGATTTATTTCTTTTATACCTGCTCTACTTAGCGCATTTACCACTCTACGTTTTAGCTTTATTACTCGCTTGGTTTTTCGTCTATGGACTTAAACTTAAAGAACTGCACGATTTATTTCGCCCTGATAGGAAGTTTCTAACTCTTTCCTTTTTTCCAAATTTTTTCCTAGGGTATCAAGTTGTTTTTTTTTCTACCAAGTATTAGAGTATTACTAGTAGTATATATATATATATAGTTGAGCTCTCTGGGGTGGAGATGTGGGTTGGTAAACAGTGACTATTATAGCTATATAGCGAGACTCTTCACTAATGCGAATTGAGTCACTCCCGGTCACTGGGCGTGTTTATAAAGATAAACACGCTAAAAATCCACTTTCTTCCCTACCGTGCGCCGATGGCTTAATGGTTAGAATCTCCGACTGACCCTAGCTGGAGGCAACCGGATGTCTAGCCACACTGATGAGCTGTGAAACAGCGAAACAGTCTGTCTGTGGATGACGGTATATATATATATATATATATATATATATATATATATATATATATATATATATATATACATTAGTATTACTAATAGTGTATATATATAAATAGTCAACTCTCCCGTCGAATCCGACGTATGAGGGTCAAGCAAATCAGTTCCCAGAAACCGACAGCCCAACAACAGCACATGAGATTTGATTATAGTGGTTATAAGGTTTCGTGTAGGACCAGCCACACATTTGAAGGGCCGAATTCAGAGACCAGGTGCACTACGTGCCACAAGGTTCCCAAACGACCCTCCGCAGGTTTTGAATTCAGTGTTGTCCTTCTCCTAGACCAGTTGCCATCCAAGGCTATAGAACCCAGTCTGTCCTGCTATTTACCCATAGCTGGAGGGAGAAGAAGAGGATTCACACCTTTACCAAAGTTATTAGCACGTAAGTGAATGGAATGGATTCCTCAATCCAACTCCACCGTGCCTCTCTCTCACACACACACACACACACACACACACATATATATATATATATATATATATATATATATATATATATCGTCATCCAGAGACAGGCTGTTTCGCTGTATCACACATCATCAGTGTGGCTAGATGTCCGGTCGCCTCTAGCTAGGATCGAAACCCAACTGAATTGGCGGCCGTCGGGGATTCTACTGCTAAGCCGTTGGCGCACGGCAGGGATGAAGGTGAATTTAAGCGTATTTATTTTTTTAGATAAACACACAGTAACTGAGGGAACTCGATTCGATTTACCGAACAGGTTTGCATTATTAGCCGTAATAGTCACTGTTTACAAACCCACACTTCCTCCCCAGAGAGCTCAACCGAAATAAATAATGGACTCTCCCGTCGTTTTCGACGTATGAGTGTCTTACAGTTCAGTTTTCATGTTTATGTTTCGTATGAGACAACAATCCTGTATGAGATTTGCAAACAAGTCCACACGAGGGACATGCTGAAGGGGTGACCGTCATATGGGCGGATGTATTGGCCCGAGATTTAGTGTTGGTTCTTAATTCTCAGACGTTTCTTTGAGACGATTCTTTTCAAAGTTAGTTAGACCTTGATGGCAGGTGGTTCTCCAGTTTGCTCAGTTTTCAAGAGCGAGTTCCAACACCTCTATAGGGATGTTTGCAGCAGTTAAATTGTATTTGAGTTTGTCCTTGAAGCGTAACCAAGGACGGCCTACACTACGCTTAGCATGAAAAAGTTGGCTATACATGAGGTTATATATATATATATATATATATATATATATATATATATATATATAATGAAATGGATTGTCCGACAATTATTTAATACTAGCAGTAAAGCCCGGCGTTGCCTGGGATGTAACAGTAAGAGATAGATCAAGTATCGACCATCATAAAGACTGAAAAATAAAATTGACAAAGATTATTGTTGACGGACACGCATGTCTTAATTAGTTTTTTGTTTTGTTTTTTTTTTACGAATTGGTCAAACCCAAACTCAAACAAAAACATTGTTTTCAATCGTTATGAGTCTATCGATTGAATAGAATTTTATTATAAACAATTGTCTTGTAAATGGAATTTTTAAAGCATTCGGAATGTAAAAATAAAGAAAAAAGTGTGCAGGACAATAAGAAACACTACCTGCCAAAAAAAAAAGTGAAGTTTTGTTGAAATCGGTTGAAAAATGTAGGAAATCCGATCCCATATATAAACGAACACACACACACACACACAAACAAACAAACAACCTGGGTTTTATAATAAGTATAACTCGATATGAGTTGTCCCCCTTTCATTCTCGCGATGCCTCTTAATCTTGTTTTCAAATTGATTTCGTGCAAAAACAATTGAGTTTTTTCCCATTTTTGGCGCTGTCAGAACCACCGCAAGGTAATTTTACGTAGTCCTGTGAAGTTTTGTTGAAATCGTTTGAAAAATGTAGAAAATCCGATCCAATATATAAACGTACAGACTCACACACACACACACACACAACCTGGGTTTTATAATAAGTATGATATTTTCTGTTTATATGTTATTTTTATACGGACAATTTATTTATTTGATGAATGTAAGCGTACTATTAGATAGGCATCTATGTTCCACCCTTTTACTATTGAAATAGTTAAATGTAACCTCCACTCCTACTCCAGAAGTTTCTTTTCTCGCACTTCCCGATAGTGGAACTCCCTTCCGTTTACCTGTTTCCCTGATAACTACAATCTTCAAAAAATGAAATGTAATGTCAATCGCCATCTTCTGTTGCTGTGATCCCCGTTCTTCTTTTATCCTTTCCTCAATCCCCCCCCCGCCTCTTTTCCCTCACTTCACTCACATGCGTAGTATTGGCACTCCCGCCTTGCTTGGCTTGGGGTGAAATGGTTAAAACAAAAAAAGAAACCTAAATATCTCTTCAGTAACTTTCGGCCAATTGTAGCGAATGAAAGATGTTTGTAATCGCCAGAAAATCTTTTTGAGTTGGTGGTCCATGTAAATTCTCTTGGAGAATGGTCAGTAGAATGCAGTGGAAAATTTAAACATTCTAATTACTGTCGAAATGGACATTCACACAGGCATAGAAGAAGCTACTGCTTCGCTGAAATAGTTTAATGTCCCGTATGCAGCGGAAAATTCCTTTAATTATGAATAAGTTCAAAGAGGTCAAGCTGAAAATCGTGCACAAATATTTGGAGAAATCAAATTATTTTTCAAGAAAATTCTTTTTGCAGATGAAATTAGAATCGAATATTTCAATCCCACCTTAAATTTTCATGTGAGGAAAAGAGTTGTATCAATAATTCAAGAAATACTATGTCTACAGAGATGGATGGTCTGGTTTATTTTGCTTTACGGCATATCAACACTTCAATGGGTTATTTAATGACAAAAAGATTTTTATAGGATAGGTTCCTGTTAATAGTATATGTATTCTTTGTAAGAAATCAGTTTTTAGATCAGGTTTCATTGATGCATTTTCGTAAAAAGAGTTTCTGTCAAGAGTCAAATCGGTCTAATTTTTTTTTTTTTTTTTCAAAAATGTATTGCTGGTAATGTTTTTTTGGAAAAACGTATTGCCGGTATTTTTACTATAAAAATCTATTTTTATACTTTCATAGTGTCTTTGACCCCAATTTTGGGGTTTACTATTTGCCCATAGCTGGGACCCTAAAAGGTGGTACCACCCTGGGTCAGGATGAACCTGGAAACAACAGCAATTAAAAGGTGGTTCCATGTTCCTCAAAACCTTTTGATCAGAGGGTTTGCTGCCAGATGTAGTTTATCGTCATATCCAGGACGACAGAGATATTATTATTAGGTCAGAACAAAACTTCGTGCCTTTTTTAAGTGAATTTCAAAGTTAATATTTAGATATTTGTACTACTTGTTTTCTTCTATTTTTATTTTCAACATCAAATTGTTTAAAATTCCCAACCGGTAAACGAATTATATAGAAAGACACATTTAAATGCCATCTTTCAAATTATGAATATATATCATTGTTGTGGCCTTTTTAGGGCCAGAAATAAAGACACAAAGAGAGGAATTGAGTTAAACAAACATATTAACAGAAACATTAATAAAAACATATACAAACGAGAGTGTTACAGCAAGAATGTTCAGTCCGAGTGTCAGAGCTGACTGCTGGAAAACATCCGTCTCCAAAAAGGCAGTACCTGCTCCTAATTATAGCTGGGAGAGTCTATGCGTGTGTGGGTAAATTACAATAACAATCATAAATTTCAGTCACGTGTGAAACGAAATCATATGTCCAAATGCTACCTATTAAAAATACAACGAGCTTTTGTTCCAGTTCAATATAATGGTTTGCATACATTTATCTTAAGACGACGCTATTATATGTTACTGAAAGAATCCTGAATAAATTGATGTACCCACCTATGTAAAAGGCTTGCTTATTCTTTTCAGAACAGCAGTTAAAGTTGGGTAAAATTCTCTCAATATAGCCATTATCACAGGAGTAGAGTAAAAGCGACTCGACTCAAGAATGGTGCGTAAGGGAGAGTGACAAAGTACTTCGGCGGTCGAGCGAATCCTTTCAATTCGACTCTTATCGAAAATTTAATGGTGGTGTTTGAGGAATCGAACTCATCAGAAATGATGAGGTTTGAAGTTTTGCCTTTATAGAAAATAGGTGAAGTTTTCCCAGTAATATCACGATGGTTGAAGTCTTAGGAAAGGAAAAGAGAGTTATCGAATTGAAATTGCAACGTCTTGCAGTTAAATAGATTTATATGTCGCAATGCTTTTTTCTAACGTCACATTTGTTTTCCTTTTAAGAGAACTTTGAAGAATGATAACTGACAACGTTTTAGGTTTTCAAATTTCACATCAAAATAGACTGAGGAGATTTCTGGCAGATGTGTACTTATAATAGTGTTCATTAGATAGATAGATAGCTAGATAGATAGATAGATAGATAGATAGATAGATAGATAATATTATATCATATATATATATATATATATATATAGAGAGAGAGAGAGATAATATGTATATATATAGAGAGATATACATAGATATGTATGTAGATATAGATATGATATTAATAGTGTACATACATAGATAGATATAGATAGATAGATAGATAGATAGATAGATAGATAGATATTAATATATATATATATATATATATAGAGAGAGAGAGAGATATAATATCTATATATACAGAGAGATATACATAGATATGATGTAGATATAGATAGATAATTAGATATTATACATTACATAGATAGATATAGATAGATAATATAGATAGATAGAATATTAATAGTACATATTAATATTAGTACATAGTAATATATATATATATATATATATATACGTAGATATGGATAGATAAATATATATTAATAGTGTACAATAAATAGATAGATAGATATGTATAGATACATAGATATTAATAATGTACATTAGATATATAGATAGACAGAGACTAATAGTACATATTAGATAGATATTAATAGTACATAGTACATATATGTATGTGTGTGTGTAGATATAGATAGATAAATAGATAGATATTAATAGTGTACATTACATAGATAGATAGATAGATAGATATTAATAATGTACATTAGACAGATATCTATTAATAGTATACATTAGATAGATAGATATTTTAGAATTTTATTATTTCCATCATTTTCAATCGAACTACCGCTCTCTCATCGGCCCGTAAGTGATGCTTTAAGCCGGCTTCACTTTTACGACCTCTTTTAAAAACGTGGAAAACCTATAGTTTGTCTGTGTTGGAAACATGCCTGTCCCTGTATACAATCATGTGACGTTTGAGCACCGCAACAGATTTACAAATCTTGTCGCAAAACTCACACGTGTAACCTTCAGGTCTTTCTGATAGGGGGGCATTCACAGGACTTTGCACCTGACCTCCCTGCTGTGATCGGACGTGACTAGCTCAATTGTTACAGCTCCCCAAATCAATAATCTCCAGCCAGATCCAGCACAGTTTCAATATCTGTCTATAATTCTGAGATGAGGTATTATTTACACGATTTACATTATTCAGACTATTGTCCTCATCTTTGTCGCCAGATTTATTACAACGTTTCGGCCCTTCAGTATCTGTCTATATTTATGAGATGAGGTATTTTGTACACTATTTACATTATTCGGACTATTGTCCTCATCTTTGTCGCCATATTTATTACAACGTTTCGGCCTTTCAGTATCTGTCTATATTTATGAGATTAGGTATTAGGTACATTATTTACATTATTCGGACTATTGTCCTCATCTTTGTCGCCATATTTATTACAACGTTTCGGCCTTTCAGTATCTGTCTATATTTATGAGATTAGGTATTAGGTACATTATTTACATTATTCGGACTATTGTCCTCATCTTTGTCGCCATATTTATTACAACGTTTCGGCCTTTCAGTATCTGTCTATATTTCTGAGATTAGGTATTATGTACACTATTTACATTATTCGGACTATTGTCCTTATCTTTGTCGCCATATTTATTACAACGTTTCGGCCCTTCAGTATCTGTCTATATTTCTGAGATGGGTTATTATGTACACGATTTACATTAGTCGGACTATTGTCCTCATCTTTGTCGCCCTATGTATACAACGTTTCAGCCCTTCAGTATCTGTCTATACTTCTGAGATGAGTTATTATGTACACTATTTACATTATTCGGACTATTGTCCTCATCTTTGTCGCCATATTTATTACAACGTTTCCTCAAGAACACATGGCACAGTGGATAAAGGCGTTAGTTAGATCCAGTGACAGGACCCAAAGTGTGTGAGTTCAATACCCGGTTAAGGCAGTGGAGAACTTGAGGAGGGGAATTAATTGGAGATAACTGACAAATGACATCCATAGCATGTGGAACTAGAACAGTCTACCCCAGTGAGCGAAATAAAGGGTTCAGTTTGACATTTCAACCACCTGAAGAAGGAGCATACAACGGCCGAATCGTTGTAATAAACATGGCGTCAAAGATGAGGACAATAGTTCGACTAATGTAAATAGTGAACAGTTTCAGTCTTCAACATTAGCGCCAAGAGTCTTTACGTTACATCCTTGAAACGTTTTGGGGGCTTATGATCGGGTCAATTACCTTGTACCAGCTCGCCATAACAAAAAGTCTTTTGGAACAATCTGCCATCCAATTCATTTCTGCATCCAGTGAGCCATCCCCAGAGAGTGCACTGTCTAAGGATACAAAAGTTTCTGGGAGAGAGCGTGTTATCTAGTGTGATCAACAACCTGAACAAGACCAGCACGCTCAAACCCTCAGTCACAATGACTTGTGAATTCGTGCTGTCACAGCCATCGACGACCCCCGTCTACCCAATTTCACTCACAAAGTTTGGGTCAACGCGTGGTATGGTTTTCATGCACTTTCCAAATAGTCCGATAACATCAGTTTCCTTCCTAAAAAATCAACAATGGCCAGACTAGAACCCGGGTCTCATGGTCAGAAGGCAAACCACTCGGCCACGCGCCCATACAAAAACATTTTAACATACATACATATTCGGTTTCTCTCTCTCTATCTATATATTTATCTATTCCATTCTGTTCACTATCTATCTATCTATCTATCTATCTATCTATCTATCACATTCTGTTAATATCTATCTATTCCATTTTGTTCATTATCTATCAATCTATCACAGTCTGTTTATGATCTATCTTTCTAACACAGTCTGTTTATATCTATCTTTCTATCTATTTCATTTTGTTCCTTATCTATTGTTGGGGCGCACCCACCTTCTAACTAGAAATGGACTGGTCCCTCTTATATAAGTCAGCTCTAGAGAGAGGACGAGAGAGCGTCAGCAGTCCAGATAAGCTTACCCGTTACATACCGTTGGACTATAGACTTTGGATATTGTTTCGTACTAACCAACCTTCGTTCTACTAATCACTCTATTGTTAATTGCTTTTACAAATATACCAGTATTTTCCTCTACAACTGTGTTTGTCTTGATTCATACACCGACACGCGGGAAAACTCACAATATCTATCTATCTATCTATCTATCTATCTATCTATCTCTATCTATCTCTCTATCTCTATCTATCTCTCTATCTATCTCTATCTATCTATCGTGGTCTTTTAGTAATGAGAATGGCTTTCCGGTTCCTGGCGTTATTTCAGTTGAGAATCGCTCGATTTGTTGGGTTCCTCCTTATATATATATCCGATCTGTTGCTGTACAAGAAACAAAATGGACCATGTTGTCAAGAGATCGTCATAACAAAACAAATCCCGTCCGGTTCACACTCCTCCCTTGTTTCCTGTTTAGGATTGGTTCCCTCTAAAGTCTTCTCATTCTCTTTTACTCCCAGTAGCGTCTTGTATCTTAGTGGCATTATCACCTTGCTTGGGATTGACTTGAAAAAATATCCACCTAAACAAACTAAAATGTTCTGTTCGATAACCTCTTTCAAAACAATTACTGAATGCTTTCTAAATATTTCTTTAATCATTAACACTCCAAGCAAGGCGATGATGCCACTAAGACGCAAGTGATTACTGGGTGTGAAAGAGATTGAGAAAACATTAGTGAGACGAAAGAGCAATACAAGACCAGTATTTAGAAAGACATAAGATTACGATTGGCGTTGGATTTAAATTTTTGAAGATTGTGGGTGGCAGTAAAGTCAGAAACCAAAAAAGAGTTCCAAAGACGATAAAAGAAACTATTAAAATAGAACTTACGGTTTTATCTAGGTAGTTCAACAGTAAAACAATGAGACCTAATTGCCCATCTAGTCGTACGCTTAAATTCATGCAGTCGAGGTATAAAGGAGGAGAGCCCATTAGAACAATTGCCATGAAAATATTTATAGAAAAGACAGAAGGAAGCCTCGTTATGGCGGTGGGGAAGTGACTGAATTCGAGATAACAAGACAATATCGATGCTATTACAGACTCTTTTTTGGATTTTGTCAAGAATCTCGAGATATATTGCAGAAGCACCAAATATGGCAACAGTGTTCAATGCATGGACGAATTTGAGAAAAAAAATGAGGATTACGTTGTGAGGAAACTGGCAAAGATTTTGAAGATAATCAAGAAATCATTGAATGATTTTATTTCGAAATTTTAACTAAAAACTGCGTAGATAGATCTGCAGTCTAAGAATAAGAAAAAAAAAATAGCCGTTATTTTATACATTGTGTCCCTAATGTCTGGACGCATGCAGAAATGCACATTTTCAGGAAATTAAATTTTCAACATTTTATTGAAATGGAATATTAACAAATAACATTTTCAATATGATTTTCAGTATTTGTGATGCAAAAATTGATGCACATTGCAAGATTCACCTGAAATCGATGCAATACCTCCACATTTCCATCAATTTTAGCACATTCACTCTTTATGCATTCAATCAAGTTTGTTGCATCTGTGTTTTTCATTGAGTACATCTCCTTCAACAAAAAAAAGAAAGTCGGTTATTTCTTCTTTCGAAAAAAAACGGTGTTTAATCTGTGAAGGTAAAAGACATAGTTAAGAAGATTTCCTATGTATCCAGACTTTAGGGACACTCTGTACATCCAGTTTTTAAAAATAACCTGTCAATGCACTTAATTCAATGGGAAATATTAATCATAAAAATCGAACATGAAAATTTCTGATCAAAATTTACCTTACAACTGCGCCGATCTATGGATGTATAAATTCACTTTCGTAGAATCAAGTATTACATATAAAAGATGCATAAAGAGGCATATATATATTCTAAGAGAGAAGCTTAAGACACATTTATACACACATGGGTTGTCTCGATGACTCTTGTGTATTACGTGTATCAGAAGCTATCTTTGGCAACAGTGCTTTCTGCATTCTGTTGAGGATTCTTCTAGACTCATTGATATGTGTGTGTGTGTGTGTGTGTGTGTGTGTGTGTGTGTGTGTGTGTGTGTGTGTGTGTGTGTGTGTGTGTGTGTTAATTATTCTATCGTAAGACCACAGGAAATAAAATGATTGGGTCATGCAGAAAAGAAAGCAAAGGTAGAATAGAAACATTTCTAATCCAGGAATATTGTTTTATAAAGTTGATTGTGTAAACAGATTATCTAAAAGAAAATTACAATAATCGGTATTAAAATCTGAAGTATAGGAATTAATGTAATGGATGCGAACTGCTGATGAGTCCCAGACAGGACGAAATGGCCATCCAGTGCTTTCTGCATTCTGTTGAGGATTCTTCTAGACTCATTGCCATAAGCCTAAATCCCCCCAAATTAATTACTTGTATATCTTGCTAGACCCAGCTAATGCTCTGCGATGGAACGGCTAAGGATCAAAAAGCAAAAAAAAAAAAAAAAAAAGCAGACGTGGCTCTTGGGGTACATACTGTTCCGAGGTTATCTGAATACTTAGATGAGTATCGCTGCGGAACTGAGTGAGTAGCACGCTATATCGAGTCTAATTTGTGTCTTCTTCGTTATCGAGTCCCGTTGGTATGACGTTTGCGTTGTATCGAAACGGTCCGGGTTCGATTCTCGGTAGTGGATGCGCACTGCTAATGAGTCCCAGATAGAACGAAATGGCCATCCAGTGCTTTCTGCATTCTGTTGAGGATTCTTCTAGACTCATTGCTATAAGCCTAAATCCCCAAAATTATATATATATATATATATATATATATATATATATATATATATATATATATATATCCCAGATATGATAATGCCCATAATGGGGGAAAATTCAAATGGGAGAATAAAACACCGTCACCAGCTTACTGCAACTCATGGGTGTCTACTGATACATTTTCAAGATGTAAATAGGGCAAAAGGTAGATTGGAAAATATTTTTAGGACAACGGTTAGACGAGCAAATTGGTTTTTTTTTTTTTTTTTTTTTTTGGTGGGGGTTAGCATATCAACGTCTATGAGCTATTTAATACAGAAATCTAAATATTGTGTATGCATTTTTATTTTCGGAGATGGTAATAGTTTAGTGATACATGTCTTAATAATTAACCCATAGCTGGGGGAGAAGAGATGGATTCATGCCATTCCCAACGTTATTTACGTGAATGTGAGTATAACGAACCCAACTGGAATTGAAACTCGCATCTCCGATTGACAATTCCTATCTATTATCGATTACACCCCCAGCACATCCAAGCCTGCAACATCTGGTATTCCCAAGAGTTCACCCATCTAGGTACTGACCTGGCTCGACGTTGCTTAACTTTGGTGATCGTACGGGGACCGGTGTTTCAACGTGATGTGTCCGCAAGCGCGAATACCAGAGAATACAACCTTTTTCCCTAGGAAACATATGTTTAAGGATGCACAGGATAACTGTAGTGAACTATGTCGGGTGTGCAGATGGCGTAAAGTTTACTGGCGAGTGAAAACCCTAATTGTCTGCGTGTTTCAAATGTGATGGGAAGATGGCACTCAGTTTTTGTTGCAACTTAGATAGGGTTATTGAATAAGGAATAACCAAAACGGACGTTGGAAATGAAATGGTAATCTTTATAACATCAACAAAATACAATACTCGCCAGCGGCGTGAAGTAGGTAAACCACTGCTCGCGGTGGACTACTTAGACAGCATATTACCCCCACTTACAATAGTGTCCAACTTATTTATGAGGATTAGGAGATATCAGTTAGCGTCCATAGATTCAGTATATAACAGATAGATAGATAGATAGATAGATAGATAGATAGATAGATAGATAGATAGATAGATAGATAGATAGTGTTGTAACCTAGAAAGCGTTACTGAATGAAGAATAACTAAAACATAGGTTGGAAATGAAATGGTAATCTTTATAACATCCACAAAATACAATACTCACCAGCGGCGTTAAGCAGGTAAACCACTGCTAGTGGTGGACTACTTAGACAGTATATTACCCACCACTTACACTAGTGTCCAACGTATTTATGAGGATTGGGACATACCCATTAGTGTTCATAGGTACGGTATATGATAGATAGATAGATAGATAGATAGATAGATAGATAGATAGATAGATAGATAGTGTTGTAACCTAAAAAAGCTTACTATATGAGGAATAACCAAAACGGAGGTTGGAAATGAAATGGTAATCTTTATAACAAGAAATAATAGTTCAAGAAATAACCTTTATTGATGCAGCTGAAACTATACTTTATACATTGGTACTGAAAAGTTCTTATAAAGTGGGTCGGGTCGATAATTTTTTTAGTAGCCCTTTCTTTAAACGGGCATAAGTTCAAATGACGCGCTTGCCACCAAACACGCCTCAGCGGATGCCCGTGATCCATCCGTATCAAACGTTTGGCATGAGTTCGGAGATTTATATAACCATTGAGAAACATAAAATGAGTCTCTCTTTCTGTTATAACTGACGTACCTATTCTATTATTAATAGACTCTCCCACACAGTAGTAGTAGTAGCGGTCGCCAGTTTGGCTCAGTGGTGTTGAGTGAGTCAGTCGATATCGGACATTGAAGTATCAATCATCACAACTAGATTGCTGCGTCATTAACTCTTATTTCAAGTTCCTAACGTTTTGTACGTCGAACCTAATTTAGGACGACTTATTGAAATACAAGCATCCACTGTGAAAACTACTCTACAACACTTTCACAATATAACTATTCATGGGTCCGAAGGTAGTAAGCTGAAATGGAACAGTAAAATCACGGTTCGTACGAGAGAACATATTTTATTGGAAACTTTTTTTAAATTTACTTTTTAGAAAAAGAAAGTAAAACGAGTCTAAGTAAAAGGCGGGAATATTTCCAAAGTATTATTTTGGTCAGATTCTAAAATTAAAAACAATTTTTCTGTTTATATTCTGAATAATAAGCTGAGAAAAAAAATGGTAGCCATTAATATGTTTTTCAAAAATTGATCATTATTCATTCTTTCAGAGTTTCCCATCTTATATTGCGCGGGTGGAGATTGTCATAAAATGAAATCATTTAAAATTGATTTCGTGAGGAGGAAAATATTTCGAAAGACGCCAGTGAAAGATCAAAAAACTACATGTTGAGTTTTCTTATGATTCTCTCATTTTTATGATTCTCTCTTTTCCTATGATCCTCTTTGATAAGTCTCTCTTTTCTCATCATTATCTTCGTTTAAAGGACACTCTTTTCCTATTAAACAGAGATTTATAAAAGAGAATCGTAGGAAAAGAGAGAATCATAAGAAAAGAAAGACTCATGAAAGGGAATCAAAAATGAATAGAATCATAGAGAGAGAAAATCGTAAGAATAAAGATATTCATAAAAGATCATAGGAAGAGAGAATCATAAAAAAGAGGAAACCATGATAGAAGTGAGACACATAAAAAAAAGACCATAGAAAAAATAGAACCATAAAAAGAGAGAACATATGAAAAGAGAGACTCATAAAGGAGAATCATAAAAAAATGTAAACATAAAAGAGAGAATCATGAGAAAAGTGAGATTCATAAAAGAGAGTCATAGGATAAAATGGAATGGTAACAATAGAGAATGATAAGAAAAAAAGGTAGTCATAAAAGAGAATCATAGGAAAACAAATGGAATGCTAAAAATAGTGAATGATAAGAAAAGTGGAACTCATAAAAGAGAATCAATGGAAAAAATCGTATAGTAAAAATAGTGAATAATGCGAAAAGAGGGACTCATAGAAGAGAATCCTAGAAAAAATGGAACGGTAAAAATAGTGAATCATAAGAAAGATGGACTCATAGAAGAGAATCATAGAAAAAATGGAATGGAAAAAAAATCATAAGAACGGACTAAAAAAAGTGAATCATAAGAAAAAAATGGAACGGAAAAATAGTGAATCTCAAAAAGACTCATAAAAGAGTCATAGGAAAAAATGGAACGGTAAAAATAGTGAATCATAAGAAAGACGGACTCATAAAAGAGAGTCATAGGAAAAAATGGAATGGTAAAAATAGTGAATCATAAGAAAGACGGACTCATAAAAGAGAGTCATAGGAAAAAATGGAATGGTAAAAATAGTGAATCATAAGAAAGACGGACTCATAAAAGAGAGTCATAGGAAAAAATGGAATGGTAAAAATAGTGAATCAAGAAAAAAGGACCTCATAAAATAGAATCATAAGAAAAAAATAGCATGGCAAAAATAGTGAATGATAAGAAAAGAGGTACTCATAAAGAGAATCATAGGAAAATATGGATTGGAAAAAATAGTGAATCATAAGAAAAGTGGGACTCATGAAAGAAAATCATAGGAAAAAATGGAATGGTAACAATAGAGAATGATAGGAAAAAAGGAAACCATAAAAGGGAGTCATAGGAAAAAATGGAATGGTAAAAATTGTGAATGATAAAAAAGGGACTCATAAAAGAGAATTATAGGAAAAAAACAGCATATAAAAATAGTGAATGATAAGACAAATGGGACTCATAAGGACAATCATAGGAAAAAAATGCAATCGTAAAAATAGTGAATGATAAGAAAAGAGGGACTCATAAAAGAAAATCAATGGAATGGCAAAAATAGTGAATCATAAAAAAAAGGACATAAAAGACAATCATCAGAAAAATATGGAATGGTAAAAATAGTGAATCATAAGAAAAAAGGGACTCATAAAGTTTAATCATAGGAAAAAATGGAATGGTAAAAATAGTGAATCATAAGAGACTCATAAAAGAGAAACCTTGGATAAGAGAGAATCATAAAAATGAAATATTTAAAAAGTAACTCATAAAAGGGAATCATAGAAAACGAGAGAATCGTAAAAAAGAGAGAATAATGTGAAAAGATTGACTCATATAAGACGATTATTGGAAAAAATTGAAACATAGAGAGAATCTCAATAAAAGAGAGACTCATTAAAGAGAATCGTAGGAAAAGAGAGTCATAAAATGAGAGAATCATAAGAAAGAGAAATCTTATGAAAATTGAGAATCAATTCTAATAATTTTGTTCAATAATCGACCAAAGAGCCACTCGACCCCTCGAAATAGATGTTTACTGAATGAGTTTGTTGTGTGTCAGAGTTTTAAGTAAGAAATGCATATCATGCGGATATATAGGAAGGATAACTTGTGACTCTAGACTTGAAGAAGTTAAGATCATTGTAATCGGAAAAGCATCATCTCTGGATTCTGTTCCACAAAGTAAAAATTATTGAAATAAAGCAGCCTGTGTAAAACTTCCTCCTTATACGAAGAGAATGACGATGATTCGACTCAGTGTACATAGAATGGCTGATCTTTGCTGTGATGGTCCCAGCTTGTAGTACCAACGAATAGATCTATGAAAATAACGATAGATTAACGAGAGGCTATCAACGTTTTGTCTGTAGAAAAGGTGTTGTAGTGTGGCGTTCAACCCTCACAATGCAACGTAAATGCTTTTGAACACTATCAAGACTGCAAAGTTAGGATTGGCGAGCTCCAGCCTAGATATGGCATCAATGCTTCGATGTTTTTGCCTCTTGCTTTTCTTATCCTTTTTTTTAAGGATAAGAAAAGAAAGAATTTTAAAATGATAAAAGAGGGTGAAAATCTAATAAAACTCACCGAAAAAATATGAATTTAAATCTAAATGATTTTCTCTGTGAAACCTCTTTGAAATATTTCTTTCTCAGAAATATGTTTTTACTACTTTTTTTTTTCAGTTTTATGATTTTTAGTAATATATTCTTAGTATATGTCGCTTTGTTTAACGACCACTTCAGAATAATTTCTGTTTTATTTCAATAACTTCATATTAAAATTTATCGGATTAAAATTTAAATTTTATGGACTTTATTTTCATTCTTTATGGCGTGATAAAAAAAAAAAATCGGTTAGTTTCCGCTGATACTAAATTACTTAAAGAAGAGCCTGTGTCTTTCTAAAAGAGTGCGCTCGCGCGGGCAAACACTTGTCGACGCAAACGTTACTTGAGCTTAAAATCTGAGCTTCTTCCTTCTGTTCCGATCTGGAATTTTCCCATAATAATCATTGTTTGCTTTCTTAAGTAGCAGATGTCTTAACTTCACTAATTAATCTGTTATCTGGTACATTAATCTCTGTGCTCAGTGTAATGCCATTCGATCATCCCCGCTCTCTTATTAAGCCTCTCTCACCCCATCTCTCTTTACCTCTCTCTCTCTCTCTCTCTCTCTCTCTCATGGTATTGGTAATATTAGACGTTTCCCTAAAAGGAAATATTCGTCATTCATTTACGGACTAGCCAGTGCTTTCGTCGGTTGAAATTTATAAAATCGTTCTATTGAAACAATCTTTCAGTGAAATAGCTTTCTTAAATCCAGTAGCTGTTATCG